AAGATGTAAATAACAAAAATATTCTTATATACCTTTTTTATTGTTTTTTTTGTAATCGTGATCGTGAGGAATATGCCATATTTGGTGCGGTCCTCTAAATCGCCACCAAATTTCACCGGCACGTGATCACATGCAAATATACTATTCTTGGCAGTACTGGAATTAAAAAAAATTTATTTGTACCCTAATACTAAGATATTGTAGCCGGTTAACTGTTAGGTTATTTGATTACACAATTAGGATATCCCGGTTAACTTAAAAGATAATATAGGGTCGTCATTATCAACAGTTTTTCTTGTTAAATAATATATAACTAAAATAGTAGTTATCAATGAATACAATGCCAAAGCAAATCTATGAATTTGCCAATAAGTCCATTTTCTAAATTTCATGAACCTATTAGGGATGGTTAAAAGATCTATACGTTTTTGTTCTTTGAAAAAGTAGCAAAAGAGGAAAAAAGGGGAATTCCATAATGCTGTGAATGCACCAGGATAACCATGTCTATGACATTCCTTATATAAAAGCCAGGCTAATATTGAGGCCAAAAGAAAATATATCAAAGCCCCTCCAATCAAGCTCCAAGTTAAAATCGATGTTGCACACACATCGAGATTTGGTTGTTGAAATTCTGATTTACATCCATTAAAGAAAAGAACGATAAAAGGATGTTTGCCACCGATATTATGAGCAGCTAAATTTACGATATGATAACCAAAAAGACCAACACTACTGATAAATAACTTTAATATATTCATTGATAAAGGTTAATAAATTTCTTGGAAAATAAATTTTAATAAAGTATATATATATGTATTAAAATAAAAAAAAGTTTCTTAAGAACTTACTTCCCAAAAAGGGACAATGCGAGAAAGAATCTCCTGTTGTGGAATGACACGACCAATGTCAGATGTTCGTGATTGAAACCCGTTCAAATCTTTGCCAGCGACAAGAGGTATCTTTGCTGACCCTTTTTCTGATAAGGTACCATTCAAGTTTTCAAAACTAGATTGTAAAGGTTGGAAAGATCTATGCATATTTTCATTTCCTTGAGTTTGACCTAAGTAAATGTCACTTAATTTATCCTCCGAATAATTATGTCGTTGTTGGACATGGGAACTCATTGTCAAAAATTGTAATTATTTACAGATACCTTGATGATATTTATTTAAATTATGACAATTTATTCAGTTTCAGAAATTTATTAGAATAAAACTTTTATATCTTGATTTAAGATAGTCAACGCGCATATCGATATGGCTTATAATAAGAGGGCACTATGTACTATACACAAAGACACGATGATCGAACAGGAGTATGTAACCCATATTTTATTGAGATGTCTAATGCAAGTCTAATTGCAAACATAATAATGCAGGTGACATATTGATTGTAAAAATATATAAATTCAATCACAATATCTTTTAAACAAATTAAATATTAAATTTATTGGATTCCTATTAATGTGCGGTTTTTTTTTTCCATGACGAAGCCTTTTTTATTTTTTTTAGATTTTAATGACTGATTTTTTTATTGGTATCAAAGCCACCGAATTTTATTAGCATCTAAAATAGCGTTAGCAACATTGTGCTAAGATGCAAAATTTGCAAATTTACTTTTTTGTTCTTAAACCATGCATATTTTAGATGATGACTGGAGAACTCACTGAAATAATAGACGAGCTTACCGAAGAAAAAATAATTGAAATTTAGATTCAACAAACATAAATTTATAATGAGCTATTTAGATAATTTTGCAAGATTTACTAGCTAATATTGCTAGCTGGTTTTGCTTTTAAAGACCGGTAGCCCTGCTTGGTATATATATAAAATAAAGAAGAACTTTGTCATATAAAGAGTGCATTAAAAGAAATCAAATAAATGTAATTTTATTTGTGTATATTCATTGGTTCAAATATCTGCTATTACATTATTAATAAAAATCTTTATTAGTGATCATCTGCATCTGCATATGTGACACCTTTTACAGATCATTATAGTAATTGGCTTATAATCGATATAGAAACAGTCAGGGAAATACGAGTATATAATTGGACCGGAAAATTCGAGATCCAATTACTCTCATTATAGTGATGTCATCGGGCTGAGAAAAGCTTACATCATCAAAATTCACTATACTGAATCTTCACTATAGCTTGAACAATCGACTTAGCATAGTCTCTTTAACCGATTTTTAAAATATCGGCTGAACAAACACTATCATAAACGTGATGCAGCAGAACGATAAAGATAGATAGGCGGATCTTATAGGTGTCCCTCTCTAAAATCGATTGTTTAATAATATATATATATATATTATTAATGTACATACAATATATTGGCAAATTTACAAAAAAAGAAACCAATATCATATCTTGCTTTTATCCTTATTTTTTTTTGTTATAAATATAAAATAAAATATATTGCTTAAAATAATGGCTTGGCTCGAGATTGATCAGTTTGCAGATCAGTTTGGCTTTCTGCAAACCAAGCCGTGCACTACTAGCGCTAGCTATTGTATTAGCGTTAATATGCATCTGACTAATTTTTTCTTGATTAGGCGACGCCACAGTTTATAATAATGTGTTCAAAGTTAGAATCTATACCAAAAATTTAAAACTAGTTCTTGGTTTTTGAAACGGTTATTCGCTATAGAGGATCAGTTCCCTCTAGCATTTAAGTATTGCCTTATCCAGATTTATAGAGTA